GAACTTCAGCCCCACGTGGTAGCTATGAGCAATCGTGTACTTCTCAGGAGTGGTGACGATTCCCTTTTTAGCTACATTGAGCTGACATTTCTCGTTCCCTCCACCGCGCAGTGAAAGATGTTCCACTGATCCTCTATAGATCGCCCCAATGGTGATCTCTTGCTGGCCTTTTCCTTTCTTTTCCATAGAATCGAGCAGTTCTTGTTCTGCCCATGATGGGAAGTTCTTGTCAGCATTGGCAATCTGTCGGCCTATGTAGAATGCTCCAAAGGTGGGCATGTGGCATCTCTGTGGATTTTTGTGATAAGCCCAGTTTGCTGGTCGAATCTTGCCCTCCATAAGGATCAACTGTGCGGTACTGAGGGTCGTACCATGGCCAAGTGCCCATGTGACGAGGGTTTGGCCGCCAAAGGGTGGGGGCATTTGAAACCGGCTCATTTCTGGCAGCGGCATGACCAAGGCCAGCATGCCTGTTTGTGGAAGTTCTCGAACATAGCATGTGGACATATCAAAATCTGTCAGGATGCCTGTACTCGACAATAAATGTATGGCCTTTCTGCCAATGTCTGTGGGGATTCTCGGGTCCACGTTGGTCAATTCTTCCATCGCTTCATCAAAATGCTCTTGGACAATACTCGTGGATGGTTGTGGAAGCTCCTTTGCATCAAGTTCATTTGCCGCTCTCATCCGATCAGGATGGGTGAGAGCATGTTTGACTTGGCGAGCCCATTCCTCTTTGGAACCTTCTTGAAGGTTGATGGCAATATGGCCAGGTGGAAGAGTGGAAGCTCGGGACTGAGCCGAACCAGAGCGATTGGGATGATTGCCCTGGTTGTGGGAGTGCTGTTCCAGCGAGTATGCCGTCAAAGGCTTTGAAGGATACTTGGAAGGCGGTTCATCATAAGATTGATGTTTGTAGTGTGGCTTTGAATAGTCGACCCATCCGGAGGGATGCGTGTAATATTGAGACTTGGACTGGTCTTTCCAAGACTGCCAGGACTTCCACTTTTTTGTGGAGCTGTGGTCAGGGTAGGTGGAGTAGTCATGGTAGTCCGACTTGTCGGGAATTGAAGGTTGTTCGTAGTGATGGTCATGCCAAGATGGAGGTTGATGTGTAGTGGGTGAATAAGTATAATCATCACGACGACGATGTTCATCACGTTGATGTAGGACTTCACGATGACGTGGGGAGTTGGAACGAAGAGTGACTGACTGGGGACGGCATGGAGACATGGAGTCATCCCGTGAGCGGGAACGTCGACGATGGTGGCGGGAACGGCTATCCCGTCTGTGACGTTTTGGACTTCTCGGGATCGAAATTGGACGTTTGTCCACTTGAGTCGGAATGTGTTTTGATCGTGACCTGGAACGGCGATGAAGCCGTGGAAGTGGTGGCAACGGGACAACGGGTGGAGTTTCTGCGACTGGAGTCGCTGGTGGAAGTTGTACCACACTTGGATGAGGACTCTTAGACCTTTCTTTGGTCATTTCCATAAACGCCTGCATGCCGGATTCCACTGTGTGGCGCATCTGTTGCATCATCTCTTCTGGATTGAAAGTGGTGTGTGGCTCTTGTTGAGCTGGTTGAGATGAAGTTGGAACAGGAGGAGTCTGGACTGGTGGCACCGTTGGTGGCTCAGGTACTGATGGAGGAGTCTGATGAGATGCGGTTGGTTGAGAAGTCTGATGGAATGGGAGAAGCTGCTGGAGTTGCTGAATATGGGTCTGAGCTTGGGAATTCAATTGCTGATGCAGTAGTGCATTCTGGTCCCTTAACTGAGCCAACTGAGCTTGAGTCTGAGCTTGTGACTGAGCGTGAGACTGTTGGTTCATCAGATCACCTCCACAAAATTGACCAAATTGTGCAGCAGGTTGAGGTGAAGTAAAGGTAGGCGCTGACCAGCCACAGTTCCACATGTTCTCCGAAAAGTTTGGCCACCGACCAGGAAACATGGCCAAAAGATTTAACAGGTCTGGCAGCACCGTCAGACGATCACTATGAAGTTAAAACATTAACGTTGGATGCATCCACAACGCATGCAGTATTCGTGATAAGGCTCAAAGGCCCTCGGCTTTCAATTCACAACCCTCTGGACGGCTTACGTGTTCAACCCCTGAATTACGTGCACAATTGAACCTCACCAACGACCATCAAAAGAAAGAAAAACCACACCTAAAGCATGTCCTGACGCCTCCACATGGTGTCGTGTCATGTGTCAACAGTCGAGTTCTGTACTCTCTTGAGCAACGTTGAAAAAACGGATGTTGACGTGGCTACCAGCTATGCAGATCGGTAAAAGGGAGATCCCCGAGACAGCGGGAAGCTGTTCAACACAAATCGACATCGACCGGTGAGACCTGAAAAAAGGCTGGCTGCTCACTTTACTTAAACGAATTACTAATTCAAAAGTGTAAATTCAGACATCGTTTTACTGTCAATTGTTAGCCTGGAAAGGCTTTCCCCGAAGGGTTCCTGCCAACTTGACGTGTACAGCAGGAATGACACACTTGCTCAGAAAATATCTTATCGAATTACTGTTGTGGAGTGCATCGGGCGTGCACAAACAATCCCCTAAAGTCTGACAGGAAAATTGGATGACATGGCGAGAAAACCAGTGTAGAAGAATTCTTTCTTTGTCCTTGTAACAAGCAACTGTTCCATCTGACGAAGTCAGCAGTAAATCAGATTGCGAAAACCGTACAGTGGTTTGAAACCTGTTAGAAACGAAGTTCTGAGGAAGGTCCTGATGCAGCTGAAAAACGGCTTGGTGGTTCTTGGGTTAGCCACGTCCCATTGCAGAAATGAAATGAAAATAGCAGGTACGTCGATGAGCGTCCCCATCGATATCACAGATGACACACTGGCGTCTTCGTTGGTGCCAGTCCAGTGTGCATCCCTGGCACCCCCTGCAAGTATGATTCAAAAGCTAAAAACCACGAAAATCAACCATCATCGAGCCAAAGGAAGTTTTACATCTTTTCAGATGTTCCCCACACACACACACACCCACACACACACACAAACTGTGCACTGTGCTGTAGATGGCGCAATTCACTTTGGGCAAAAATGCACACAGCAAGCTGTGAAGAACACAGTTCATCAGGAAAGACTAACCGAAATTGGGCAATTTCTCCTTTCTCCTTTCTCCTTTCTCCTTTCCCTCCTCCTTTCACTGTCCCATTTCCCTTTCTCCTTTCCCGTTCTCCTATCCCTTTCCCTTTTCTCTTTTCCCCATTTCCCCTTTCTCCTTTCTCCTTTCCCTTTCTCATTCCCTTCCCCGTTTCCCCTTCTCCTTTCCCTTTTCCGTTTCCTTTTCTCCTTTCCCCTTTTCCCTTGCTCCTTTCTCCTTTCCCTTTCTCATTCCCTTCCCCCTTTCCCCTTCTCCTTTCCCTTTTCCCTTTCCTTTTCTTCTTTCCCCTTTTCCCTTCCTCCTTTCTCCTTTCCCCTTCTCCTGTCCCTTTCTCCTTTCCCCTTTCCTTGTTCTCCTTTCTCCTTTCCCTCCTCCTTTCCCTTTCCCTTTACAAATGGAACGCAGCGGTAACTTATAGATGGCGCAATCCACAGTTATGCTTTCCCAAAGAAAAATCCTGGGAAAGGGAAGGCGAGAAGGAGAAGGGAAAGGAGAAGGGAAAGGGAAAGGGAAAGGGAAGAAGGGACGAAGGGAGGGGGAGAAGTGCAGAAGGGAAAGAAGAAGGGAGAAGGGTGAAGTGAGAAGGAAAGGGGGGAGGGAAAGTGTAGAAGGGGAAAGAGAAAGGGGAAGGGGAAGGGAGGAGGAAATAGGAACGTAGCAGGGCGGGTTTCGAAAGCACAAGGAGCCGGGACAGGGAAAGGGATCCGGTCCGACTTTAGCCATGCAAGGGATCGGTCAAGGTCACAGGGGACGTTGCCTTGAACTTTATCATGTACCCTTTCTCCTTCAATTTAAAGTGATAATGTAAACTTAAAGTTCTAATTTACTACTTCTACCTTTATAAGGTACGGTTCCCTTTCCTTTTTTCCTTTCTCCTTTCTCCTTTCCCTTTCTCCCTCTCCTTTCTCCTTTCTCCTTTCCCTCCTCCTTTGGGAACCTATAGATGGCGCAATCCACAATTATTGTTTTCCAAAAAAATGGACCCCAGATCTTAAATACTAAGTTTAAACTAACCTAGAGGAAAACAGGTTGTTTTCAAGGACGTGTGTCGGGAACCTATAGATGGCGCAAAACACCCCATCCCTCAAGTGGTCTATAGATGGCGCATTGCAAAAATCTGCGCCATCCATTTTCAGAATGGAGTAGTTTTTTTTTCAGAGTGTTGTTTAGGGTTTCTTTGGGATGTCATTTAGGGTGTCATTTAAAGTTTCTTTAGGGTTTGATTTACGGTTTCTTTAGGATTAATTTATGATTTCTTCAGGGTTCATTTATGGTTTCTTTAGGGTTCATTTAGGTTTTCATGTCGTGATTTTTTCAGGATTTCTTTAGGGTTTCTTTGGGTTTCACCTACGGTCTCTCTAGAGTTTCATTTAGGATACAAACAGAACAGAATAAAGCAAAAGAAAATGAAAAACAAAGAGACAGTAAAGACAGGAAGCAAAGAAGCAAAGGAGCAGGAAGTAGAGCAGCAAAAACACATGACTGAAGAAAAGAAAAAGTAGAATAGTAGAAGTAGAAAGGCACAGAAGTACGAAAGCAGAGAAGCAGGGAAAACAGAGAAGCAGAAAAGCAAAGAAGCAGGAAAAGCAAAAAGCAGAAAAGCAGAGAAGCAGGAAAAGCAGAAGCAGGGAAAGCAAAAAGCAGAGAAGCAAGAAAGCAGAGAAGCAGGAAAGCAGAGAAGCAGAAAAGCAGAGAAGCAGAAAAGCAGAAAATCAGAGAAACAGGAAAGCATAAAACCAGGAACCCCCCAAAAAAAACCTGCCGCGAAAAAAAAATAAAATAAAATAAATAGCCCTCCAAAAAATATGTGACGTCGATGAATTTCCCAGCAGAATGATGCGAAAATGCCAACCTTGTTTCATCTTTTTTCCCACATTCAAACTGTCTGTCAGGTGGCCTTGCCGCCTTGCCTTGCCGGGCCTTGCCGGCCCTTGCCGGGCCTTGCCGCCTTTCCCGCTTTTGCAAGTTAGAATCACGCGGCTTGGTTCGCTATGGACTCACAATGGCTGCAATGTTGAAGGTAAAATGCCTCGTCTGCGGCGTAGATCCTGAACGCTGCAGCTTTTGAGAAGTTCGGTTTCTGTTCCAAATCCTTCTGTCTTCGTTATCTCAGTCGAAGGATTGCGCGAAAAGACTTGGCTGGACGTGATATGTATGACATTACCCCATAATCCCGTTATGTATGAAATGCCTGATTCTGGCATGTCTTTCTCAAAACAAAGTTGCAAATTGCTGGTCGAACAGCAAAGCCACATCTGTTGCCAAGTCTCTCCCGAATCCAGTCGATGTTTCTCTGCGACAACCATTGGAGCTGGACTTCAGGATCATCGCTACTCGATACAGATTCATGGGTCAAAATCTCCTCACATCACGAGATATCACGAGGGGGGATATATTTCTTGGTTCTTGGTGCGGATATCCCTCGATCCCTCAACCCTGAGCTCCCATTAATGTGGCATTTTGATGAGAAATCGGATGACAAAATATGAGGATTCACCAGTGGATTTGGGGCTACCTCAATTTTCACAAGAGCCGACCCATTAATTTTATTGTTTATTCAAATATATTCAAATCGGCATCTCAACGTGCAACTGGTATGCCTGGTATGAACAATTTACTAAAAATGATGGACCATTAGGGACGCTCCAACGCGCTCCAACTTCCAAGTTCCAATGCCGAAGCAACACTGCAGCGTTGGTGCTGCAAAAATGCCTCCTGTCTGCATTGCTGGTGCTTTAGCGGTTTGCAATGGTTTGCAACCAAATTTACCAGAGTTCGAGTGAGTTTCCTTTCAGTTGAAGTACGCTTTGGACAGTGGGAAGAGAAGAAGTGCAAATGTTGGAGGAGTCAGAACCGAACAGCGCACAAAAGGACCCGCCAAACGACCTCCCGAGCGACCCCCTGAACGATCCCGACTTCATGCGCTTTCAAACGTAGGACTCGTAGGACCAATTGAAATCGCCACGACTTTGACTCTTGACTCTGACTGTACTTGACAAGTGGAGTTTGACACACTGCACCCGACATTTGCGGTGCCACCACAAATTCCTCCTGGGCTTGAATTGAAGACTTCGACGCCAAACAAATGGGGTACTGGTGCGGCTGATCCCTCCCAAGATGATCCAAGTGTCCGTGTCCAGATTGAGATTCAGTTCGTTGGAGACTCTGTCCATGTCTTCTTTCAGCGTGCAGGTGCACACGAAGCTCACACGGCTCAGCTCTTCGTTGGTGACTCCCTTCATGTAGAAGTCCACCACAGGCATGAAAATGCCTCAGCGGAATCATTTTGGTGCCACAAAAACATCCCATTTACGACATGTTTGGACTCCTCTCCCAGCGTTCGTTGAAGGAAACAATTGCAGGAAGCCTCTACAACTGATCTGTTGATCTGATTCTCTCAAACAAATATCACCACTGACCTAGGCGTGGAGGACGTTTCTATCTTGTGGGAGACTTCAGTGTCAATCTTTGAGTTTATAGGCAAGGTGGCGCACTTCTTTTTTCTGCGTATGTGCATGTATGTACAGTACTGTATTACATATATATATATATATATGTATGTATATATAAATACATACATATAACTGGGCTTTTTTATTTTATGGCTTACACTTCCACGAAACTTTCCTTCCGCAGTGCTTCCACACCCTTCAACGCGTGCAGCCACACGCGCACACACTCACCCTGTTATGACTCGACGAATACTACGAAAGACTAACGATAAAAAAAACGGCTCTCAACTGGCTACACGCAAGTAAACGATGCAACTGGAGCCGAGCTGCTGTTGCTGTAAGGCCGGTACTGCACGTCCAGGGCTATCCGGTGGTTCGGATCTGAAGTGTTCCGCAGCGCATCCACATAGCTGTGGTTGAAATCATCAAAGGAAAACACCTCACATAGTTTGGATATGTGCTGGATATGTTTTGAACATGGACACTTGATCAGAGCAGAGTTGCCTAGACACATATGCCGATCATATGCCGAATATTTAAGTTGGCACCTTTTAACTCGGCCGGAGACAGAAACTGCAAAGCAGCACCAGCGCCTCTTTCTGAAGGCTGTAGGCACCGTGGGACAGTTGACCGTTGTCACTCTGCTCGTCATCACCGGCAGCAGCTTTAGCTTGAGATTTCGAAATTTTCGACATGTTGGAGCTATTCAAAGCTGCCTCGATCGACAATGAAAGGTTGTGCAAACGCGTGTGCCACTGCATTCCAGACACGATTCGAGATACTGGATGTCTGAGGCTCACGATCACATGCCCAGCTCCATGCTCCAGCAACCTGAGGGCCGGGTTTGCCACCCTTTTCTTTGGGCTTCGTTCTGTTTAAAGGTTCTTGATTTTTATCATTTCCAATACGAAATCATCCAGTCTCCAACAAAATCAACAAAAACACCCACTCATCTTTGCACCAGTCATGTTGACACAGCAGCTTTGTCTCCTAAGTTCTGTTCAGGTGTTGGCATTAGATCAGTCCAGAATCGTTTTCACATGAAAGGTTGAGAAGGCGGCAAAGTCATCCTCTTGTCAAGAGTTCAACGTCCCAAGTCCCATGTAGCAACATCAAGCTATCTATCAGTTTGGATATGCTGCGTCTGATGAGATTCTATGCAAAAACATCATTAATACATATTAATACGAGACAGCATCATGGAGAAAATCATTACATTTCATTATGATCTATTTGTATTTGTTTCTTTCTCTCTTGAGAATGTTTTGTTTTTCAACGACGAGTTCTTCAACGCAGAGACACGTGTGAGCATTGCATTGATGGTCGTGCAAATGGAGGCCCGAAGATTCTGCCAGCATTTGGCTGAGTGTCTCGGAGCCTGTTCCTTGCGAAACTGGAGACGTTTGGAGTGGAAAACAGTGCCACAGTGCTGTGTTTTTTCCGAAAATCTGTCGAAAACCCAAGGAGTTTAACATGTTTTTTTGTCGCATCGGAAAGAACCCAAGATTCGCGCCACTGACACGGACAGAACCATGCTCCCATTCAAAGGTGGCAGCTGCTCGGCGCAAAGTGCAGTATCCTTTGAACCTTGGCAGAGTTCGAACCAAGGACTCGAGGACTCGAGGACCAATCGACCATCCTCTCCGCTCAAAGAGAACTCTTGGCATCGTAAAGTTGACGTTCGAGGTCAACTAACCAAAATGCGAAAGGAAAACCAAGCAGACAGGAATCCCTATGAAAAACCAGCTAGTAACGCCAAAAAAAATCACCCAGCAACAGTGGTATGTTTCAAGGTGCATGTATGCGCATGTCTTTTTTTTGGCTGAGGCACGAATCATATCCTGTAAGCTGAAGCTCCTGTCCAGTAGCGACCCTGCTTCTGGAGGAAGTGCACATGACCATAGGTCATTGTGGAAGTCACAGTCAAAGCCCCAAGCCATCTCTGGGAGTTGGTCGTCCACCTGGCGAAACAGGGGCGGCCTAACCATATCATACCATATCTGGGCCCATGTCAAGCCACTTGGGCCCAGGTAGCCCCTGGTTGGATCCTGTGGCCCCAGCCCCATATGGCCCCAATCCCATGGCGCCAGGGGGCAGCAACGTCCTTGCCGTGTCTTCGGGTCAAGATCTGAGCCATCGCGGCAAATGGCCGATCGATGGATGCCAACTGCGGCCACTTCACCTGACGCGTCGAAGCCCGTCGAAGCCCGTCGAAGCCCGTCGAAACCCGTCGTCTTCGTTTCAAAGTTGGCCCAAAAAACTAGACGATGGTTGGCCCGAGAGCGAGTAGGTGTATAGGTACTCAGATGTGTTATGTAGTTGTATGATTTGCAGACGCCAAAGACTTGCATGAATATGTTCATGAGAATGTTACTTGAGATCATGTGAATATGTTCATTGTGTGTAGATGTCAAGATAAGAAAATGTGAAGATGTCAGGGTTTTAGTTGCAAGAGACAGACACGGTATGCTGTATAGAAGGTTATTGAAGATGTGAAAAATACAAACATACAGATATGCTGATAGGCTCTCAAACACAGACACACGCAGAGAAACATGTTTACACATATATACACAGACACACACACACACACAAACCCACACACTTGTTCAGAACAATCTTTGCGAATTCTGATGTGGAATGCATCTTACGTGCAAAAACACTCCATTAAACCTGACAGGAAAAGTAATGAGAAGATGTGAAGATGTGAGGATGTGAGGATGAGAAGATGTGAAGATTTGAAGATGTGATGTGAAGATGTGAAAATGTTTGACAGACCACCACTATTAGAAGAACCCTTCGCTCAGGCGCTCTCGGGAAAAACTGGGACTGGCTGGACATTGCAGGAAGCCAAAGTCTTTGTCAGAAATTATAGAACACTAAAGTTCTTGGAAATGTTCCTTTCATTAAAAAACTGATGTCATGTTAGGCCCTGTTCGTCATCGCCAAGCCGCTCCCGGCTCCGAATGGATCGGCAAGGCACCTCACAATGTTGCCAAGTGATCCGTCTGAAATTCTATCAATTCTGCGGTCATTTGCTTGGCATATCTTAGCATTGTTTTTCTTTGATGCACAAGCTGTGACATAAAGCCAATGCCAGTTGCTATCCGCGCTCGTATTTCAAGATCTCGACCCCTGAATTCCCCTTCTCTTTTTTCTCTCTGTGTCATATACATATATACATATATACATATATACATATATACATATATACATATATACATATATACATATATACATATATACATATATACATATATACATATATACATATATACATATATACATATATACATGTATACATGTATACATATATACATCTATACATGTATACATATATACATCCATACATGTATACATATATACATATATACATATATACATATATGCATATATACATATATACATTGTTGATGTCCAACATCTGTTGTCCCCTTTCTCTATCTTTGCTCAGGACCATATGGACCACGTGACATCTCATGCCAACAGCTTCCATTCAGACATGCCATGACTGATCATGTATCTGTCGCCGGCCGACTTCCTTTCAACTGTGCGTCCACCAGTGTGGTGGGTGGGCGAGGCATCTTGAGTCCAAAAGCAGAGCGGGAGGATCAGGGATCCAGGTTTCTTGGAGAAGTAGGCATACTTCACTATTGGTTTCGCATTGGTAGCGGAGCCCCTATATAGCTGCAGGGGCATTAATCTTAAATAATTAAGGGTGGGACCCTTTTGGTGCACGTGTTTCATTTTGGAACAAAAGACAGTCAAAAACACTGAACAACTCCTGGGGCGATCTGAGCAATGTCCATGGCGGATGGCGCAACGACTGCCCCTGCGGAAGCAGGAAGTCTTCCCGCTAGTCAACTACCATGGCAACAGATACCGACCTTTGACCCGCAGACCACAGACTTGCAGGTCTACTCCAGGAAGCTGCAGTTCCTGAAGGACATCTGGCCTGTGGAGCATATCGGTCAACTTGCTCCACGAGCAGCACTACAAGTTCAAGGTGTGGCCTTTCAGAAGGTGGCCAGACTAGACACAGCAAAACTTCGTAGCGAGGCAGGAGTGAAATACTTGGTAGAAGCTTTGGGTGGTCAATGGGGAAAGCTGGCTAGTGAAGAAAAGCTTTCCTACTTTGAGCGTGCTTTCTACCTGACGTCACAACGCTCAGACGAGTCCAACGACTCCTACCTGGCTAGGCATGATGCAGCCTTCGAGGATATGACAGCAGCGGGAGTGACGATGGAAGAGGTCCGAGCGTATGTCCTCATCCGTCAAAGTCAGTTGCCTGCTGATGACAGGAAACGGCTGGTGGTCGAAACTCAAGGAAATCTGTCCTACGAAGGGGCACGGAAGTCTTTGAGGTTGTTGGGTTCCAAGTTTTTCCAAGACCTTCAAGGGGGATCAAAGACCAACAAGTACAAAACCTATGATGTCAACTCTACCGAGATTCACGATGAGACGGCCATGATGACGTCGGACATGGAGATGATCGACGAGGAGGCCCTGGTCCAATATCTTCATGAAAATGGAGATGAAGACGCAGCCTTCATCATGGACTTTGAAGAGACAGTGATTGAGACTTTGCAAGACTCTCCAGAGCTTGCTTCTTGCTACCATACCTACATGGAGGCCAGGACACGTCTGAAGGAGCGGGCAAAGTTCAGAGGCTTCTGGGCAACGGCTGGAGCTTCAAAAGGAAAAGGCAAGAAAGGAAAAGGAGGTTTTGGAAAAGGATCTCAAGCCCGACCAAAGTCACTGGCAGAGAAGATTGCAACTTCAGCATGTCGCCGTTGTGGTGCTATGGGACACTGGAAAAGAGAATGTCCTCTAGCTGGAGCCAAGGGAGATTCCAAGGGCAAGGGCCCTGCCCCAGAGACGATCACCCTGGCCGAAGCCCTGAACATCAACGAGGAGATCAACCAGTCGCACCTCATTGAGGAGATGCCCACGACGTTGCCGGCTGATGCAATGGATCTAGGCCTGGAACAAGGTTTATCTAGGGAAGAGGAAATTGCTTTGATGGGTGAAATTTTTAATAGTCCCCAAAATTGTTTCAATGATGAGACAGAATCGCAACCCAAGGGAGGTTGGACAGAGTCCCCAAATTTGTTTAATCAGTCAGTGAAAACGCTCATGGACAAAAATTTTGACTTCAAGAAGAAAGTGAAACATAAAGTTCACCATGAACTCTCATCCCAACTCCAAGAAAGACTCCTGCGTTGCTGTAGGAAGCATGGATTTGGGAAATTCATGGACGCCACCGCAGTGACTTCCTCGCCTGAGAAGCCTGATCCGACTGCCCAAAAAGGGTCAGCCCATCAATTTGCTGGGGTGTTTTTGAGTCATGAAGAGAAAGCCGGAGAAGCCGTAATTGACACTGGCGCCAGTAGGTCAGTCATAGGTGAGGACCGACTCAAAGGCTTGGCTGAGTACGTTTTGGGAAAGACAGGGTGTCATCTCAAGAAAGTTGCTTCCAATGTCCAGTTTCGTTTCGGCAACAGTGGCACTCTTCAAAGCCGATATGCAGTTTGCATCCCAAGACAGCAAAAGGGCTGGATCAGAGTGGAGGTCGTGCCAGGCCGCACCCCATTTTTGATTTCTAATACAGTCCTCAAAGAAATGGGAACCCTTATTGATCCCCGAAATCAACAAATCAGATTCCTTGAAAGTGAGAAGGTGATTTCACTCCAAACGTGTCGTAAGAATCTGTTGTGTGTTGATATCGTTGAACTACTACAGGTGGAACAGGAAGGGGAGGTGAAAGAGGAAATCTATATGATGAAGAACACGTCAACTCACGAAAACGGAGAAAGGGAAAACACAGAGCAGAAAGAAACAAATGAGGATTCGATGTCACACCCATTTTGCCTGCCACACACATGCATGACTAAGATGCCGGGTCTTTTTGTACAGAAATCACACACCACAAACCAACAGGCACAGACGTTTGTACAGGCTGCAGAGTCTCAGGATCAGTCCCGTTCAGCAACAGGCAAACTTAGTCATCGTTTTGCAGAACGTTGCCATGGACCACCAGAACTATCTCGAGGAGGAACTCTCGGGGGAAGAGGACCCAGGGTTGACACAGAATGTCACCTACATGA